GGTGTTAGGGTTTGGGGGTGATGCTGGGGGGTGGGGAGTGATGCCAAGGAGCACGGGGCCAAGAGCATCGCACAGTATCCGCTGTGGATGTACCCCATATCCAAGAGCTGAATTTAAAAAGCTTTTTAAAAACTTTTACATACCTTTTTTTTCCCCCCACGCCTCCCTTCTCATCAGGGCTGCCCAGCCCCCCAACAGCCACGCAAAGCAGGCAATGAACATGGGAAATGCGGGCAATCGGCATCATCCCGGGTTCATACGGCTGTCGGGCTGCGTGTTTCCGTGCGAGGAGGCCCACTGCCACGGGAGCCACACGGACACTGCAGATTCCTGCTTGGGGCAAGTGGGGGTTTCTTCAGTGCTAAAAACCACTGACACCTTAGAAGCCATCAGCACCAACCCAGCACAGCTGCTGACGCCTTCCCGGAGGTCTGGCTGGAGGGAACGGGACAGACGAGACACCTGAAGGGGATTCAGCATCTCAATTTACTGAAACCAAATAAAAACCCCAAATCCCTGAAACCTGGGAGGAGAAAATCTGCATCAGGCAGCTGGGCATGGCTCAGGTGTTGTCCTGCCCAGCTCAGCTGCTGCAGAGCTGGTTCTCCATTGCTGGGGCAATCGAGCAAGCGTTGAGCAGCAAGGTGGGAACATCTGGAAGTGCGGTGAGACCCAGGTTGGGTACGTTGAGGTTTTTTGCTCAGGATTTTGCTGGGAAGCCCCGGGGGGACCAGCGCAGGCTGGCACCCACTGTGTCCCCCCCCACTCGAGGGTTGTGCTCGGACCCAGCCGAAAAGCAGCAAATTCCTCTTTTCCCTGATGGCTGGAAGGGTCCGGCTTCTCCTGGCATTGCCCATGGCATGGCAACATGGCATGGTGCAAAGCTTTGGTTGCACCGGTGTGGAAAGCGTGAAGCCTGTGGTGCCCATCCCGTGGGAACATCCCTGAGGATGTGGGAGCCTCGCCTCCTCCTGGAGCTCTCCAGTGGTTTGAGCAGCGCTGGGGGACACATCAGACCTCGACACGCAGGCTCTGCCGTACAAAATTCAGGCGAGACGATGCTTTTAATCAGGCCAAGACGATGGCAGCGCTCCCTGGAGCGGGGAGCAGGATCTGGCCCCGAGATGGCGCGACGTGGGGGGGACGTGTGTAAGCCAGCCACGTGCTGTTCGGCTGTTCCTGTGAAAATAAATGAATCCGTTGTTTCCCAGCAAGGCAGGAAGGACCTGGAGACCTGTGCCAGGACGGGCTTTGGGGATGCAAACCCTCCAGAGGGCCCAATTAAGCACATCAGCATCTGGGCTGTTGGGTTTTTTCAAGCCAGGGATTATTTTTTAATTGAGAACAGCCTTGCTTGCCCTCTGTGGCTGGACACGCGCCGGGGGCTGCCCACGGGGACCGACTGCGACAGCCCGGAGGAGAGGAGGGAATTGCCCAGATCCTCCCTCCCATCCCTCAACCCTGGAC